TGCAACATAACAAAATTGAAAAAAGTGAAGGGGGTCTGAATACTTTCCGAATGCACTGTGTTTCAGTAGGCTAAATTCTGAACACCCAATAAAGTAATTTTAGAACCTAACCAGTTTTTTTTTAAAGATCTGTATTAAGTGTTTGAGGACAAGTTGAAAGTGGCCCAGGGACTTCATCCAGGGTCAATAGTAGAATCCTATGATGGTATTCATTGTCTGATGGGTATTCAATTATGTTTCCTTTGAGTCAGGCTGATTTTCTGGTGAATTCAGGGGTACAGAGATGTAGTTTTCTTAGCAATAGCATGGAAGTGATTTGCTAGTGCTTTCTTCCAGAAAGCCTCTTCCAGGCTACTCTACAGCCCTGATATTCCCTCCCCCCCCCAAATAACTTTATTAGATTTTAAGATAAGAACAATAAAAACAAAAACTAATACTAAAGATAAAGAATGAAAAAGGAAAGAAAGAATGAGAGAGAACAAAGTCAAAAGTGCAAAAAGAAAGAAAAAGTATAAAAAAGAATGGCTTCAGACTTCCTTACAACAGATACAAGTGTCAATTTACACTAAAGAAAATTACTCTAAGTTCACAACATAACTTTCATTTTTTTCTATTGTCCACTATTATTTCTAATAATCAAATCCATTCATCATAATTTCATTTTTTTCTGTTTCACGCAAAAAGTCCAAAAACAGCTTCCAATTAGCATTAAAATTACTCAGTGTCCTTTCTGTAATCAAACCCATCAGCATTGCCAAGCCCTGATATTCCCTGAAGGAATCTCATCCACATACAAGGCACAATCCTATTTAGTTTCCAAGTCCAGACAAAGTTTGCTTATTTATTTAGTTATTAAACTTGTCCCCGCCCATCTCCCCCCAATGGGGGACTCTGGGCAGCTCACAACATATTAAAACAAATATACAATTAAAATTTATAAAAGGACACATTTACAAAAATAAAAGGAAAAAAATCCAGGGGGCTGATGGTAGCAACACCAGGCCTCTAGCGGGCTAGCCAACCCCACATCCGCTGACCTCCCTCCCCACCCCAGGCCAGATGGCAGAGCCAGGTCTTCAAGTCCCTTTTTTCTATTTTGTTACGTCGTTCAAGTGCTGCCACCTGCTGAGATGTTCATAAGCATTTAAATTTACTAAATATTTCTTCTTCACTAGGAAAGAAGGCCAAACTGGACATTACTTAAAGCCACAGCTCAAAGTTGCTTTTTTTAAGCTGTATAATAAGGAGATCCATATCTGGACACACATAAGGAACAGGAAGGCTTTTAACATTTTGTCCTCTGCTTTGAATCATACCTCCTTGTACTATTTTTATGTGTTTCTTTTAAACATGAGCCACTAAAACAGATGGATTTATTTTGTGTTATATTTGGGAGATATAAAGTTATGGTCCCCTGCTTTTCCCATGCCAGGGTCTTTGTATGGATTAGTCCTAGTGTTTTATTTTAGATTCTAGAATAAATAATGGTAAAAAGTGATCAAATAGATATCCATTGTTTGATCATAAGCTCATCACTATGGTACAAACACATTGTGATAACTGTTTCTATTTCCGCTCTTTGCAGTGGGATGCCTTTAGCATGCCTGAATTGCAGAACTTTCTGCGTATCCTGCAGCGTGAAGAAGAGGAGCATACTCGGCAGATCCTGCAGAAATATGCCCATTGTCGCCAAAAAATGCAAGAGGCTCTGACTGCTCGCACCCCAGGTTGAGAAAATGCTGCATCCCACACCCAGCACTGCAGTAAAGAGCAGTGGCCAAGAGCAGTGAAGCCAAGTGGACTGCAAGTGAAGTGATCCTTCGACTGTCTGTGGGATGAATGTATCTCTGGAGGTGGTGGGGAAGGGACAGCAGGGATGTATGGATCTCTTTGTGAGCCTTTGATGTGTGTGCTCCCATGGAGTGAGTGGTTAATAAATGCATAGCACATTGGGATCAGGTAAGAAAATAAAAAGGTGTTTGCAGGGTGTGTGTGAAGATGAGAACTTTAGGAGCTCTACTCTAGCACTAAATGCCAGAAAGCTAGTGCCACTTTTATAGTAAAAGACTTGCCGAGTTATGCTTCTCTGGGATTGGAACTGGAGAGGATTTGAGGTTAACATAAATAAAAACAATTAGAGTGGCTTTGAATCCAGAAGTATTCCAGGAAGAGAGACATCTATGGCACTTTCCTTCAAAATATATATATTTATATTTTTATATAAGGTAGCTAACTGTGAGATTCTTTTTGAGGGATTGGTCTAATGCATTCAACCCTGTTTTAGCCCATCTTTGGTATGAACTTCATGGTCAAACTAAGTCAAATCCGCTGCCTCTCAGCTAAAGTCATTGCTAAGACTGATCATGCAGAGAAATGGAGAATAAAGTTTGTCTTCTCTCAGGTAGAATTATAGAAAAGCAGCTGACATAAACATTGGTGGTGGGTTATAAAAACAAAATGTAAAAAAATCTTGCCAAGATATCTCCTTTATTTTGCTCTCCTTACAAAAAGCATTGAGGCTAGTTGCCTAACAAATCTCAGAACTCAGGCTTCTCTTCTGGTTTAGATAATCATAGCTTTTTATATAGGCACATGCATGACTGAGCTCTTGATGTATGGCTGTGGAACATCTTTGTTTTGGGCCGGACCTAGCAGAAAATTCCCTGGGTAGCTGCAGAGAACTTCTGTGCTATGGGAAGCATGTGTGCTGCTACAATAAGCCTCTTTAGGATTTAACAATCAAGTATATTTCCAGAGCACTGACAAATATTAAAAAAACAAACCTAGGCCTTTGCCACTTCTGGAGAATCCTGTTACTATTGTTAACTATCTTGGAAACTGAATGGATTAACTGGGATTGTTCATTAATTGTTTTGAAAACTGAATGGATAAAACGGGGGACTAGTTAGGTTATGAATGATACTGCTTGTATACCAATCAATAAATGATTCAGGGATTTGAAATATTTGGTGTATAGCCTTTTTAAAACTAGTTTCTTGCTTGAAGACTATGCCCAGAAATGGCATCTGCATGTAGTGTCACTTGAGTTCCTGCAAACCCTGTTCATATGGTGTGTATTAATCCTGACCCTCTGCCGTCCTTGATCCTGTAATTGTTTGATGTGACTAAAAATTAGCTGGATTCAAGTATGTTCAGCCAAATGTTTTAGTAGGTACAGCAAGCAAACCTGAATAAATTTGTCAATGACTTACCATATAGTATAAACCAAGGCTTGTTTCTCTTGAAATAAGCCATTTAGAAAGTTTGGTGTGGATTCTGGCTGAAGTGTTATTGCTGCAACCTTTTGTGAACTACTGAGAGATGACACGAATCCTATCTTTTACCTCTTTCCAACTAGGATAAAACTTGGCAGCTACACTACCATAGTTATGCTGACCTGAATTACTGCATTGATGTACTAGCTCCCTCTTACATAGTAGATCTTAAAATGTTGGTCTTTTCTCTGAACTTTGTAACTTTCAAGCATGGTTTAATGGATTAAAACTTGATGTAGACCAGAACTGATGTAACATAATCTATATAGCCACCACTAGTTCTTTCCAGTGAAAACCATTCCTGCCATATTTACCATGGCAAAGGAGCTGAGATGCTTATCTCGTAGAGTTAATCAGCTCAGCTTTCCAACATGTCTGGAATCTGCATGACATCATGTGTATAGAAAAAGCAGTTGTGATCTGAGACCAGCATTTATCTTCCATGTGAAAGAATCCTCAATCTGTAGGTTGATCATTATTCATCAGATGCCACACTTCCCCATTAGCAAAGAATAAAACCACTTTAAACTTATTGTATATTCACCATTTATGAAAAGTAATCCTACTTAGACCAAATAAACGTGGCCTGAAGTCCTTAATTTATTTCATTATAGATTTGGCTTTTTAGTTCAATTCCAGTGTCCAAAATTCCATTTTGTTCCATGTGCCCTTTTTGAAAGTTTGGGCAAATGGGGTTTCTTTGGCCTCTTCTTTGTGGCTACTAAATAAACTGGATTTTAAGCCAATTATAGATAATATGCAGTGTTTCCTGGTTAGATATTGGTGAGATCGCATGCAGCATATTACCAAGTACCAAGTTATCAACCATTACTAAAATTGCCCTCTGGGCAGCACTGCTTAGATGGTGTAACAATTAGATTGGGGTGACCCAGGTTTAACTCAGCTGTAATACTTGTGATTCAATTATGGATCAAAGTCTCTCATCTCAACCTATCTCACTAGGATATAAGGGCAACAAAATAAGGGGTGCCTATGCCCTCTGGAGCTCCTTAGAAGAGAGGAAGTGTATGCATGAAAATTACTTGGGTGTATATATTATGGATTCTATCTCTCCTGTTCTAGCTTGACTCAAATGGCCGCCATGGCCAACGTGGGATGGCTTATCCCTTCACCCTAAGTGCATGAAACAAAGTAACATTCAAGCTAACCTAAATTAAAAGCGTGCCTGAGGCCACGTGATACCATGGACGACTTTCAAACGTATTTTGAACTATACACTGCTTGTTTTTTAATAGCATGGGACAGCATTAGAAAATACAGAGCTCTGACAAGGCTGTCATAGCAATTATACACTATCTGAGGAGAAAATACAGCATTCCGTACGAATGCTCACAGCCGGTAGCCGGCCTTTCAAAAGAGGTAATTCGCATGGGGGCGGGGGAAAGCGGGACATTGTCAGCTTCAAAGGCCGCAACACAATTCCTCTAATCCGACCCACTTTCTACAGCAGGGTTCCTCAACCTTGGCTACTTGAAGATGTGTGGACTTCAACTCCACACATCTTCAAGTCACCAAGGTTGAGGAACCCTGTTCTACAGTATTTTTCTCCCATTTATAGCCCGCTTGCGGACAACACTATCAATTCCAGAGGAAACCGGAAGTTGCGATTACAGCGTGCGATAACCTCTCGTAGCAAGGTACCTCCCCCTCGAGAGTGGACTTTCGGAATTGGCGGTGCCGGAAGT